GTGTGTTATAAATTTCACCACAACATCTCCTGTTCCACCCAGACGAGTGGATCCAAAGTGACTGCAACTTTACCTCTATTTCATGTAATGAAGCATTCTTAACAATCCACCCATGAAACAGTTTTGCCTGTAAAGTCAGCAACATGAAGCACAATATATATCCAAAATCACAGGAATCTGACCTTTACACAAGCAAGGAATCTCATCTTTATACAAGCAATGTGACTCACTTGCAATAACCCATGCAGTATGCCTCATGGAATGCCTAAGGGCCTCGCCAGGCCATACTCAGACCCAGGCCGAAGAGGGGAAAAAGACCCCAGCCAAAGATTCAGGGCCTGAGCGCGTGACAGTTGACCAAAGTCAACTGCCTGACGCCCACCAGTCAAAGCCAAAGTGTACCCAGCTCAGGCCGCCGGTCAGACGCACACACTTGTTTGTATGCAGGTACCCAGACAGCATCAGGACCAAGTGGAAGCCTGCAACTGCACACAATCCAGGCCCTCGGCTGTGAGTCAATCTGAACGACTGTGGGAGGGAGACCTGAGGCCAGACTGCCTCGTCAAACACTACATAAGGCTTGGTCTCCAGGAGGTCAACATTCAGTCTTGCTATGCTGCCTCGACGCTGGCTTGACTCTAGTTGGACGCTGGCTTGACGCTGGCTGTGCGCTGGTACTGTGGACGATGACGTGGGACTGTGGCAGCATGCTGGCGCCTTCTCTGCTGATCGCCAGCCTCTGCTGATGTGGCGTGTGCCACCTGTCTACATTGTTGATGTGGTGCATGCCATCTGTCTTCATTGCTGATGTGGTGCATGTCTACATTGCTTATGTCGCAGGCCACCTGTCTACATTGCTGATGTGGCACATGCCATCTGTCTTCATTGCTGATGTGGCGCATGCTACCTGTCTCTACTGCTAACGTGGCACTGGCCACACTGTCTACATGAGGTGACTGGTTGCGACAAGGAGGGAGATCGAGAATCTGTGGATGATTGGGAATTGTTACTCACCTGAGGTCGATGTCGATACCGTGGACTGCTGTTGTCTCCATTGTCTCCACGAGATGATAGTGCCCCGTGGCACTTCTATGTGATCAGGACTTATCAGACTTGTTACTGTATATTGATTGATGACGTGGAGACGAGGGGAAGCCCGGAGGAGTGCGAAATGATTGGGCTACTCTTGTGTGGTCACTGTTGTTGTCTTCATTGTCTCCACAAGATGATAGTGCCACGTGGCACTTCTATGTGATCAGGACTTATCAGGCTTGTTACTGTATATTGATTGATGACGTGGTGTTACATCTTCGACGCCACACGGGTCCTACGGACCCGACTTAGGACTAGAGGGGCACACCAGGGCCCAAAGGCCCGACCTTGGGGATACTTCAGGCCTTAAAGGCCTCACCTTGGACCAGACCCGACGGGCAGGCCCAAACGACATTACCGTTTGGGCCTGGCGGCGCTCTTGAGGCTGCCGCCCGCCGGTTGGGGCTGAACCGTCCATCTGGACGGTTCAGGGCACGGCCAGGCCTCGCAGCATTGAGGCCGGCCTCTGCCCACCGGTACAAAGGTACCGGTCCAGCCTCAGYTGGGGATCGACCTRCYGGCATTGTRCCGGTACGGTATGGTACAGCGCAAATTAGCGCTGGCGCTAGCTTTAGCGCAGGAGCAGCRAGGAGCAGCGCAGCGCAGCGCAGCAGCAGCGASCGAGGACAGCAGCAGCGGCACGGCGGCCATCGCCGCCTCAGCAGCAGCAGCTGCAGGTACCAGGAGGCGGGGATCTATTCCTCCCTCCTCGGTCCCTTTCCCTCCTCCTCACCTTCGTCTCTCCCTCTCTCTCTCTCTCTCTCTCTCTCTCTCTCTTCTTCTTCTTCTTCTTCTTCTCTTCAGATTGGAGACCTATACTAGTTGGACAGAGATCAGAGTTGGACTTCGGTGATATGAGACTGTGGTACTTACCAGATTGGAGACTTGGAGATCGTTGGGGTTGATACTTGGCGACATCACAGTTCAGACACCGGTTACATTTGGACTCTGTACCTCCGACATTGGTGACCTATTGTCCTCGACATTTGACCTTGTTGGATGACATTTTGGACTACCATATCGGTGACCTATCAGATTCTATCTCGGTGACTTTCAGTGCTGTCTACCTGCCCCACCTCCTTCGTCTCTCCTCCCCCATTCATCTGTGTATGTTGTGTACGGGGCTGAGCACCGTCTTTGTATGGCTCAGACCCCACCATCTCACGATTGTGGAGTGATGCTATGTGAGTCAGTCTATGTGAGTCAGTCCGTTTATCAGACTTCCGTTGCATCTATACTCATCCTACATTGGTTGATTCTTGGTTCTGCCCATACTCATTGGAGTATGCAACACGTGGAGACGAGGCGAAGCCCGGAGAAGGAGTGTGAAATGATTGGGCTACTCTTGTGTGGTCACTGATAATCTCTTCCACCCTCTCCTCTGTCTATTCCCCCTCCACACTCTTCGTCTATTGGTAACGAGATATTGAATCAGATATCACTTTCACGTAAACTGGAGACGTTGTGCAGATCTGAGACTACTTGTACTTCGACGTCTGATGAGTATCTTCCGGTCTGGGTTCATTATTACACACTTGAGATGAGCCAACCAACAATCAAACCAATATGAAAACACAAAATCCATTTTATCGTTTTCTTGATTATGTTTACATCAACTATCATTGGGAGGCCTCCCATTTGATTTGTTTTTGCCGCTCCCCTCTTACCGTGTATCTCATGTACAAGGCTGGCCACGTTCATGACGGTTGAGCGCTAGCTGCCCACACCCCACCTTTACGGCCCACTTGCAAGTTACCAAAGGAGGTAGAGTAAAAGGGGTAAGTTGGGTAACTTATATTTTGTCTGATCTCTTAATGAGGCTCGTTGATATGCCCTTACTAGTAGTACATGAGGAGAGAGTACACAATGGGAGGAAAAAAAAGGAGAGGGGAAAAATGTGTGTGTGTGTGTGTGTGTGTGTGTGTATGAGAGAGAGAGAGGTGTCAGTTTTTGGGTTGCGAGTGGGTTTTGTTGAGGAGTAGCCGTTGCCTGTGGTAGGTGGCCATCTGTGGCATTCTGAGCCACACGGGCCCCAGTTAGGGCCCGGTTCCAGGTAGGCAGGGTAGGCCTAAGGGGACGACGATTCAGATGAGGCCCAGGTAGGCCAGGGGTACGGCGGTTCAGGCAGGCCAGGGGTAGAGGCCCAGGCCAACGGCCACAAGGCCGGTACCGGTCCAGCATAGGACCTACCGGCGGCGCAGTTTCAGAAGCTGCCGCGTTTAGGCGCCAAGTCCAGTTCTGAATCTGGACAGTTGATCAGATCAACGGTCAAGGCCCGTAGGTACCAGCAGGTAGGAGGCCGGCCCAGCACTACAAAAGGCTGGGTACCAGCCTCAGTAAGGAGGTTAGTGAGATACGACGTTAGTCTTCAGGATTAGCGCAACACTGCAGCGTTAGCAGGGTTAGCGCAGCGCGAGCAGCGTTAGCCTGAGCAGCGAGGAGAAGGCGAGCGCAGCGGCGAGAAGGAAGCAGCGCAGCGGCCCTGCCACGCCATAGCTACCGGATCAGGTACCGGGGAGGAAGGCGTTGCCTTCTCTCCCTCTGTTCCTCCGCCCCTTCTCTCCCTCTCTCTCTCTCTCTCCCTCTCTCTCTCCTCCTAACTTCTCAGTCTAAGTCAACTCCTGGGTTCTCCTACGGGGCTGCTATCAGTGTGAAGGATGGTTACAAGTTCTGATGACATTGGAGACAGCGACATTGGGACTACAGGTTGAGGACTACTAGTGGGATCTGATTTCATCTTCCTCTGGCGATGTACTTGACATTGTGAGATTGATATCTGAGACATTGTGAGACACTGTGTTCGCGACATTTCGGATTTTCGCTACCTCTGACATTTCAAGATACTATCTCTGGAAACATTGAGTTGACGTCATCTTCCCTCTCCTCCTCCCTTCGTCTCTCTCCTCTCTCCCTTCGTCCGTGGATGATTTCAGACCCTGGCCTTTCGTCTGTTTCCAAGGCCAGGGCTTTCACACCC